GTACCTATTGCCGTATGCTATTTAATATTGTACTCGCTCGGAAGTGCAATACTGATGAAGGTGTATAATTTGGAATGAGCCGAAAGACAACAGAATGCGGGCTTTCACAATCCGTTATAATTATCGTGGGGTTGAACATTGTCTAGGTAACATGCATTTTTTGAGAAGAACGTTACTGACATAGACAAGAGAGACTAGGATTGCCCTTTCTAGCTTATTGGCCGTCATCAGCCAGTCATACCTAACCCCGAGTGGTGCACCACCCAAGGACCGAACCCCCAACCCATTGGCTAGAAGTTCAATGTGCCAACTCATTGAGCCATAGGCTCGTTCTCTTGCCGGTTTCGATCGGGAATTCTGATTTTGTCGGTAATGTTCATCTGACTAAATTACTAGCCGTTTTGCGGCTACTGGCAGCGCTTGTGAGTAAGCCTCAAATCAGTACGGGACGTGTGAGTTCCGTTAGCGACCCATTAGTATCAATCCACCAATGTATTTTTTTCACTGTTGTTCAATTTTGTGTAAATGCAACCACGTACCGTGAAAAGGATATAGCTTCTTCTTCTCTTCCTCCTCATCCTCCTTCTTCTTCTTCTCCTCCTCTTCCTCCGCCTTCTTCTTCTTCTTCTCCTCCTCCTCCTTCTTTTTCTCATTCTTCCTCTTCTTCTTCTCCTCCTCCTCCTCTTCCTTCTTCTTCTTCTTCTTCTTCTCCTCCTCCTCCTCCTCCTTCTTCTCATTTTCCGTGGGAACCGCCCGCGTAGCCCTTGAAACTTGACGTTTGTTCTGCCCGCCTGAGACTTCTTACCTATAGCATGAATACCAAATGTCAATGGACCCTTGACTGCCATTCGACTAGCCTGTTCAATGCTACAATACAGCAAGCTAATAACCGTTTTTGAAAAGCAAAATCTATTTATTTCGTTGCTTCACTGACGACGTTTAAACGATCGGCAGATTGCCCCAGTAACCCTTCATTCTTTGGACGGTTGGCTTTCCACTCTCTTTATCCGCCTTAAAGCACAAGTACATGATCTCAGCCTACTGACAGGCACAGCGGGTTGTCTACGTGATTGGAACAGCAAATTGTCGGTTGATTTTTTGGTGGCATGACAAGTGAGTGGCAGACTGTGGGGGCTTTTTTTCCTTTGAGAGCATATTTTGATGCCGGATTTTCTCCCGCGCTCTCTCTCTCACTCTCTCTGTGCCGCTAAAGCACGTCCACCTAAGTAGTACCTTCCAGTAGCTTGGCGAACCATTCAAGCGTTAAGGGTTTGTGTCCAGCTTTTTAGCCTGCCCTTTTGCTGCTACAGCAGCTTCTGTTTTCTCCTTCAGTTTGCACTCTTTTTTGTTGCACACGAGACAGAGCCACATGCAGGGAGAGAATCAGCAGGGAAACGTAACTCCTATTCCGATTCGCTGACCGCCCCCTGGAAATTGTATATGTACACATTGGGGGGGTAGTTTGTCCGCGTTTATTCCGCGCTTTCGTTCGTTTAAACCAAGCTTATTAATACTTTGACTCCAAATAACACCCCTCACCCGCCCCCCATGACCTCTGTTTCTTCTTTTTCTCACTTTAGAATTGTGGTTTCCAGTGTTCTTCTTGTGTATCATAGCAAAACTTGTAATAGCCCACATGTTTCTTCTTACAGATTCCATCAGTCAAACCACCACGCGCCTGGAGCGTTCCTTCAACTTCCCCGGTGTCAACAAAAACCTGCACATTTACCTGTCCGAGGCGATTACCTACGTGCAGCAGAAGTACCCGCAAGTAAAGACACAGGTAAGAGGGCTTTGTGGGGGATTTTATTTGCCGCTTGCATTGTTGCTACGCTGCGGATGACGATGACGGGGATTGCATTGAATAACCGATCTCAGGCGACGTTAACCAAACATTTTTAAAGTGGGTTTTTGCAAGTGGAATTGTAATATTTATTATCATAGAGCATCATACCAAGACATTTCAGACACACCAGGATGGTGGTGAAAATTCTATTCCCAGGTAGTAAGTCGGAAGGAGGAAGAGCGTTCACCGGGGAGGTTTATTTTTTATCTGACATTTCGGATAATTGTCTCTTCTATCCATCTTCAAAGAGTGAATACTCTGGCTCCTGGTCTTCGCTATATGCCGACGAGACAACTATCGGAAACGTCAGATAAAAAAAGAAACCCTTCCGGTGAACGCCCCTTCTTCTGACATCAGGATGCCTGCATCTTCTTGGTCAGCTAAAATACATCGCTCCATAGCAAATGATCACTTGAGTAGTGTGCAATTTTCCTATAAGTTTTCGTTGCCTTTACATATTCAAATATATATCTTATCAAAAATGTAAATGAAAATATTCTTTCCTGTAATTATCTGGTAGTCGACCACATCTTCTTCGAAATTGTCACTCGTAGAAAGGATACCTGTTTTGGTTTTAGAAATGATTTGAATTGTGAAATTCTTTAAGACTGTACAATTTCCACTTAAATCGCATCGTATCTGCTCATCTAGTCACATCGCTCAGGAGCTATACAACAAAGTCCACCGCCACTGCGAAAGTGGACGAGCACTCTATGCTCTATTTTTAATGCCATTTAAGAATGCATGATATGTCTTATAGGGGAGGCATACAGCTGGCAGACCGTAAACATTAAACACAACGGCGGACCGAGCTCAAAATTATTCGGGAATTGGAAGAATTTTTTTAAATCCAAATATACTCCCTTTTTGAGCGAAGAATTCGAGGACGTGTCTAACTAGCAAATAAGTACAAGAAAGCATATCTTCGTTTAGGTTTCCTCTAAAATATTTTTGAATTTATGAGGGGATCGAAAATCGATAGAGAATACTGTATATTACTGAAATAGTCATTTCTATCGAGTGACGTTTGTTCAAAAAACGTATCCTGATGGATGTGAAATATCTTGGGGCTATGCTCCACTTGCAATCAAGTAATCATTCTTAATCTCAGACGCATTTTAAAAATTTGTTTATCATTTTAAGAGATTGGTCCTTTCATTGTAAATTGTTTTTCGGCATGGTAGCAGGTTCTAGCCGAGAGAGATTGATCAATTTACCAAATCAATCCCCTAAAGTAAACGAATACCTTACTGTCACAGGGCCGAATAAAGTCAGCCAGAACTTCGAGTTATGCCAGCTAATTTGAAGAAGGAGGTCTTATCAGCCGGGAACGGGTCCTTAATGTGTGAGCCATGTGGACCGAATTTTTGACTTGGCCGATGCTGCTATATGCGGAGATATTGCGGATCCGAGGCACTGGCGTGCATATGTATGTTTCATGCCCTGGAAGGTGCCTTGAGGTGACACTTGAAACCTGTGCTAAGCGACTCATCCCTTATCTTACAGTAGAACACGGACACTTTACCCCCTTCTCTCGCGTAGTACAGGTGACCTCGCGTTAAATTCCCGTGTCCGAACGAGAAGTCCTGCTCTAACCATAACACTACTCACTCTGATATTTATCTCAAACCCACGGGGGTACCTATTTCCGTGTCCAACATAATTTAGACCCTTAAGCGAATGTTATCTGCTGCTACCATTGGGTTATTCCGTAACACGCCCCCTAAAAGCGTTGCAGTCGGTTTATTTGCTTGCTGTACAACGCAGTCCGTGTGCGTATTTTCACTTTTTTGCGAAGATGAAGGAGGTTCAAGCACTGGGATA